GAAAAAATACTGCGTTCCACTTATTTTGGCCAGGGGGATATATATATAGATATAATATATTATTTAATATTTAAAAAAAAAACGAAGTTTTGTCTATACCAAAGAAGCATTTTATTTCCAACATCTTTAAATACTTGATTTTCATTATCTCTTTCAACTTTAAATATATGTTCTATTTCCATTTTATATTGTTGATGTGTTGTTGCATGTGTTGATTGAAGATATTTATCAATTAATATATAAATATCTTCATGTTTTTCAATAGGATATAATTTACATTTTAATTGTTCATAATGTTGATCAATTGGATTCAAACGTGTATTTGTATCTGTATTTAATGTTGTAAATGCTATTTCAATATTATCAAGTGCTTCAAGTAATTCAATTTCATGTTTTAATTGTTGAATAGTTTCTATTAATGGTGGAGCATTTCGATCAAATTCATGTGGAACTAAATGAAAAAAAGTAAAGGAAAAAAAAGAAAATTTATTTTTTAAAAAGTATCTAATAGATATACTTTGAGAATAATAAGTATTATTTGCTTCAATAAATGCAGAATTAAATTTATTTGTTTTTATATATGTTTCAATTTCTTTTAATGCTGCATAACCTGCTCTAATTTGTGTTGAACTTAATTTACCTAAGAAAAAAAATAAAATAAAATCGATAAGAAAAAAGCTTTTTCGCGTTTTTGTTTTTGTTACCAAGAGGATTTTTTCTTGCATCAAATTTCATTTCAAGTAAAGCTTCTTCCATAGCTTGTATATTACATATTAATTGAATAAGTTTTTGTATACGTTTATCAAGTTTTGATTCTGGTACAGGTAGACTTTTTAATTCTTCAATAGCTACGAGTTGTTTTTTATTGTTTTCATCAACTTTTTCAAATATCTATATCGATAATAAAAATAATACTTATGAGAAACTTAAATTAACAAGGCAAAAATATCCAATTGTCGGATGCCGTTCGACCTCATATTTTGGCTTTGAGTAGAATTCACGAGAGAATATATTTGAGTAGCTACTCCAGTTTGGCCTCGAAAAACGATACTGTCTAACGTTTTTATTTTGCGGCTCCTTCTTACTAGTAGACATGTCATCTTATTTTTCATTTTTGTCAAACTTTTAAGAACAAGCAGCGATCTATTTTTTTCAACTTAACTCTCTATCTACTGCGTCCTTATGTTATCGAAAATGATAAGCGATCGATTAGATGAGCATTTGGTTGAGAAATATAGATGTGATATCTTTACTTGTGATAATAAGACGGCTTGTGCGTATCGATTTATGCTCATATCAAGTTGTTGTCTCCAAAGAAAACTGCTTGTTTTTGCAAATTTGACAAAAGCAAAAAATTATATGATACGTCTACTAGTAAGAAAGAGCCGAAAAATGAAAAAGTTAGACACTCGTTTTTCGAGATCGAAATGGGGCAGCTAGGCTATTTATATTCGAGATATTCATTGAGATCCGTAATAAATAGAATGGTTTGAACTCATTTTCAAGGGTATACTCAAGTATATTTCTTGGTAAGAGAAACTAAGAAAGCCCTAAAATGGTCGAGCTCATGCATTACCATGCTAGAGTTATGACCACTTTGGTAGACTTCCGGCCTCTGAACCAGTTATTCATGGAGAAACTAATTATGAAGTTTTCATCTGAAATTTTGTCCATATATAGGTTTCACAGTCGCTAGAATGCTCTTAAAATTTTAGCTCACACGAATGCACTTTTCTTGAGATATCGAGCATCCAACTAATGCTTAAAATATCACAAGGAAAGACATAGAATCGAGTTGTCTTAAGTACTCGATATCTCAAGAAAAATATATTCGCTTGAGCTGAAATTTTTATAATATTCTAATGACCATGAGAACTATTTATGGACAAAATTTCAGATGAAAATCTCATAATTAAGCTTTCCATGAATAGCTGGCCAAGAAACCGAAAACTTACTCTAAAACAATCATAACTCTGGCTAAGTAATGCATGGACTCGAGCGGCATTCGACAGTTGGATATGTTTCCTTATAAGTTTAATAATCTTACTGATGAATTATAATCAAGTTGAACATAATCATATTTTCCAGGATATTTTGTAAACGTATGACGATAATAAAAATCATTTTTTGTTTTATCACTAAATCTAATGTGTATATATATATATATAAAGAAAATTAGTTTCTATATTAAAAATCAAATTTTTAATTAAAATTAATTATTTTTCAAATAACGAATGTAATATTTTTTTTATAAATTAATTTATGAACTATAGATAATTAGAATATTTTCGTTTGTTTAGAAATCTAGTAAATTTTTCAGTAGCTGTGTCACATGTTTTTTTTTTGTTTGTTTTTAATTCCGCAGTAGGAATATACTAGAGTCCTGTAGGACAATCCCGAAAATTTTCCGTACAAGGCAAATAGAATTCGATACTCGAAAAAAGTTTATCCCCCAAGACTCTAGGATATGCAATGTAACTCAGTGTGTTGGTTGCTTTAAAATTAAAAAAATTTCTTTGTAAAAATGGAGTGCGTAGTTTTTTAGAACTTGAATTCTCTATCTTTTGATATATAAATGAATATTTTATATGAATAGTAAGTGATTGAAAAATTACATTTACGATTAGTCCGTTTCATTATGGTCCACTCGTTATATGTTATTAGACATATCATATTTTCACATTTGATAACAAATCGTAAAATCTCATTTGATATTAAACTGATTACAAATGAATTCGATTTAGTCTGTTCTTATCTATATTAGAACGAATTAAAATTCGAAATTACATACTTTTGACAAAAAAAATCTTTTTGCTCCATCTAAATCACAACCAAAATGTTCTAAATTATTTTGTCCATTATATCCAACTCGTCCCCTTTTAAAAAAGACAAAAAAAAATATAATAATAAATAAATAAATAAGATAATTTAAAATGAAAATTCTTACCAACGTAACCAAACATAATATTTTTTACAATCATTGTCTTCAAGTAATTGAATTAAATAAAATTTATTATTATTATTTTCAACATTTGTCTAAAAAAAAACACAACAAAACAGTTTAATATGAAATTATGACTCAAGTTTCCTACTTGATTAAGCATACAATCAAATACATCATTATTTTCACAATAAACATGAACATTTCCTAACATTTATACACATTCAGAATCAACAGGAACTTTTCCAACAACTGTTGTCACAGTACGCACTGGAAAAGAAAAGATATTATGTAAGGCCTCCTCCTTTCAGAATCGATTTTCGGCCAGGAACATTCAAATCGCATGAAATGTTCAGCTTGATAACAAGATGCTTTCGTAAGATATTTATTAAACTAGTGTTGAAAATAACTAATTTGGAAATTATGGACTTTCATTGTATGTATTTTACTTTTCTTTTGTTCGAAGAGACATGCCAGATTGCAGAGCCTTTTTTTTGTTGACTGACAAGTTCAATAACGCAAAAAAAAACTATCATACCCTGGAGCTTGACATGCTCTAACCTGGGGTCTAGAAAATACACATATTAAAAATTCAATAGCTTAGCCAAATCTCAATAAGAACCAAGTTT